TTTGGATTTAATGTTTGAAGTATGCGAGAGCTAGAGAAAGTAAGAGATGGCAAAAGAGTAATGGAGGGATTGATTTTGCCAAGTGAAAGGTAAAGATTTATGGGGTAAATATGAAAATTGGTTAAATTTATAACGAAAACTCTGTAATTCTGTCCCATCATCGTCACCGCCAAAATTCAAACCCGAATGACCTTCTTCTTCCCCCTTACCGCAACCTATTTACCGCCCAAACCATCCGTTATTACACATCTGCTGCTGTGCTCGACTCGCCTTTCAATCTCCTCCATTTCCTCCATCTCTCAGCCACCCATGAATCTCTCCGACTCACCAAGCAAGCCCACGCTCGAGTACTCTCACTGGGGCTCACTCAAAATCCGTTTTTAGCCTCGAAGCTCCTTTCTTTATATGCCTTTTTTGGCCACCTAATTGAGTCAAGTGTCGTTTTTGACTCAGTTAAAGAAAAGAATATTTGTCTTTGGAACTCGATGATCAATGGGTATCTCAAAAGTTACTCGTTTATTGAAGCTTTTGATTTGTTTTGTGAAATGGGCCATTATAATGCAAAGCCAGATGATTTTACATTGGCAACTGTTTCGAAAGTTGCCGGTGAAATCGGGGACTTGAAAGTGGGGAATTTGGTTCATTGTAAAAGTATTAAAACTGGGTTTGTTTTGGATGTTGTTGTTTCCAATTCTTTGATTTCAATGTACGGAAAATGTGGAGAATTTGAAGGGATGAAAAAAGTGTTCGACGAAATGTTTGAAACAAATGTGGGGTCTTGGAATGCATTGATTTCGGGGATGCGATGCTGGGGATTGCAGATTGGGAAAGGCTTTGTGGGAAGTTGTTAAAAATATGCAAATTGAAGGAGTGAAACTTAATGGATTCACAATTTCTAGTCTTTTGCCTTTGAGTGGCAGTGAGGAGGTTTCTAGGAGATGCGATTATGGGAGGGAACTTCATTGTTATATTTTGAAGAATGAACTGGATTCGGCTTTTGGTTCTGATGTTCATTTGGGTTGTTGTTTGATCGATATGTATTCAAGGAATAGTAAAGTTTTGATGGGTAGAAATGTTTTTGATAGGATGAGGTTTAGAAATGTTTATGCTTGGACAGCAATGATCAATGGGTACGTTGATAATGGAGATTTTGATGAAGCGCTGGTTCTTTTCCAGGAAATGCAGTTGCGTGATGGAATAGAACCCAATAAAGTCTCTCTTGTGAGTGTTCTTCCTGCTTGTAGCTCCTATGCTGGTTTGATGGCTGGAAAACAGATTCATGGTTATGCAATTAGAAAGGAGATGAGTCATGATGTGGCCTTGTGTAATGCGTTGATTGATATGTATTCAAAATGTGGGAGCTTGAATTGTGCTAAACAAGTTTTTGAGAATGGTTTGTTCTGTAAAGATTCTGTATCGTGGAGTTCGATGATTTGTGCATATGGCTTACACGGAAAGGGTGAAGAAGCCATATGTCTGTTTGACCAGATGCTTTTGCTTGGTGTTAAACCAGACATGATAACAGTGGTAGGGGTGCTTTCTGCTTGCGGAAGGTCGGGATTGGTAAACAAAGGTCTTAGTATTTATAAGTCAATAACAAATGACTATGGGATGAAGCCAACAGTTGAGATCTGTGCTTGTGTTTTGGCATGCTAGGTCGATCAGGGCAGCTTGAACGAGCATTAGATTTTATCAAAACAATGCCTGTTGAACCTGGGCCAAGTGTTTGGGGGGCTCTTGTTAGTGCTTCCGTAATGCATGGGAATCTTGAGATGCAAGACCTTGCCTACAGGTTTCTCATTCAGTTAGAACCTGAAAATCCTTCAAACTATGTCTCACTTTCAAATTTACATGCTTCTTCTAAACGATGGGATGCTGTGGCGGGATTAAGAAAAATGATGAAGGAAAGGGGTTTGAGGAAGGCACCTGGGTGCAGCTGGATTAGCATTAATGGCAAGACTCATTGCTTTTTTGTGGCAGATAAAGCACATCCTCATTCCAGTTCGATTTATGAGATACTAGATGACCTCATCTTTATAATGAAGGGAGCCGGTTATCCTACTGATTTTGAAGAGTTGACACAGATCTCTAGTTATTAATTGTTGATAGTCTCTCTGTGATTCTCTTGGCAACTGGAGGCATCACATGAGTTGTATTGTACTGTAGACATGATTCGGGCAATCATGATCAATGAGTTTATCACCTAATCCGTAGAAAAATCTAACTCTTTCAGGTTGGTTTTATCGCGTATTAAATTTTGTAATTACTATTTTTCTTTAACAAAGGGCAATAATCAAAGAATGGTGCTATCTATAGTGTATACCCATCCATCCAAAGCAAGTGAAGTGTCTATTCACCCCCCTCCCCCCTTACCGTTTCCTATTTTCCATTTTTACTTCGCATAGGTTTCATTCCCACTTGGAGTGAGTAATCTTGGGTTGGTAGACAATGCCCTCAAAATAATCGAAAAGCTGGATTGATTATACTTTACAAATTACAAGCACAAACTGAAAGCAGAACTGCCAAAAGAGTCTAGAGGAAGAAAATGTGAGAAGACCAATTGTGGAGACACTTGCGCTTGAATTGATAAGTGGCTCTTTTCTTATTTTTCCCAAAACCGGATCTTTCCTGTACTACAAACTACAAAACCATGTAAATGTTCGGTTACAAATTCAATTCATCTGCACATGATCAGGGATCTTTCACAGGTCCATCCCGAATCTTCTTCATCATCCTTTGCTAATGGGTTCCCAGATATCTGAACTTGGTTGGTACTGCTAGCCAATATTGTTGCAGGAAGCTTGGAAAGAAGTAGGTCGACCAATTCAACAAATTTCCAAAGTAATGCATGGCGTTCTCATTCCACAGTCAGAGCTCAGAACAAAAAGAACAATGTTCAAAAGCAAGACCTTTGCGTATGTTGGAAAACTGCTGCATGCACAGTGATGATCTGATCTCTATGATGGTTGACACCAAAGGATACTTGAGTAAGCACTGATATTCATAGATGGTGGCATCAAGTCATTAAAATATGGGACTTCAACTATCCTGCATTTTTCCTTTTACAGCTCATGCCCAAAAAAGGTTCTCACTGCCAAACTGAATAGTTTCTCTACTGCTGTACCTCAGATTCTCTTTCTTGCCGGTACACAAAAACTGAACCAACCACTACTCTTCCAATCCTTCTGTTTCTTCGAGTTCTTCTACTCAGACCTTTCTTTCTTCCCTTCTGAACAGGTTGAGACATAGGTACTTGATGAATCCATCCTACAGGCAATAGTGCTGCAAGGAACTGTATCATTATTCCTACAGGCAAGCGTGAGTAATCACCAGATTTTATTCCAAGCAAAGCAGCCAACCCAACTCCCCAAAATCCACTAATAATTGATGACAGGCACAATGCTGATGCTAAGAAAGAAGTAAGAGATCCTTCACAACCCCGTGGACACAGAGTTGCCAGCAGCACTGAGAAAGGAAGAACCTTAAATTGTGCAAGAGTTTCTGCTAAACCAGAAAAACAAAGGGCAAACACTTCATTGGGAATTCCCATTCCTAGATTGATCTGTCTTACCAAAACGAGGTCAAGAAGAAGGGAAGATGCATACAAAACCTGTACAGCACCAATCAATTTCCTCATGGGAATTTGTTTCCAATAGCGGTCAAAAAGCACAGTCAAGGATAGAAGCATCAATTGGCCAATTACTCGGGACATTCCAATAACAGAAGGATCAAGAAGTAGACATTGAGTTTGATAACAAAAGATTGAGCCTGACAGAATAGGAACCATGGCAATAGAAGCTACAATCCAAGTTAGAGGTCGGAATATGCTGTCCTCGCTGATGGCAACCATAAGATCAGATAGCTGCATTCTGATAATTTCTGAAATTGTTTGTCTTTTAAGAATGTAATCCGAAGGTCGGGCTAAACCAAGACATTCCTCTCTTTCTGATAAAGAAATTGCAAGCTGAAGAGATAATAGAACTGAAAATATGAGGAACATGGTTCTGGGTGGTGCTTTGAGTAAGAAATATCCCCCTAGTAAGTTGCCCAGGATCCCGCCAGCGGCTAAAGCCATGAAAGCATAAGACTGGAGTCCAGTAATTCTCTGTTTTTGGCCATACTCTGTCACAAGAGCATCCTTTGCAACTTCTGTAATGGATGCTCCTAGATTACTTAAAAGAACACATGCCATGAGGGTAGGAAGGGCTTGACCTGCAACTGGAATCAAAGCCAATTGCCCCCAAGACAAGACCTGCAGAAGGACTGAAAGTAGGATTGTCAGTAACATTCATTCAGTCTTCCAATCAACCGACTGGAATGATTCTTGCCCTTAAGATTGTAGAATGTTCAATTATAATCCTAGCTAGTCTCAGGTAAGAAGTTATCCACAGGATGAATTACTCATTCCTTAGAAATGATGTTGGACTTTTCTTCCCCATTAATGGGTTTAAAGTTCCTGGAACTTGAAGAATAACATAATCTAGTAGTATATAATCTGCATGACTTTAACAAATTTAAAACCAGATAAGTCAGTATATTGAGTATTTTCGTTTCAAATTTTGTTCCTATTATCTCCATAGTCAGATTTCAGAATCTTGAACATGCAGTTACCTTTTTACTTTCCACTGCCTTGGAAATGAAGATTTGGAATAAGGAAATAGAAAAAACAAAAAACAGAATCTAAGGCATCCTTAAATGGAAAAAGAGGAAAAAAAGTCCAGAAACCAAAACCAGACAAAGGGAGGAATAAAAGACCAAAGGAATAGAAACAACAAATTTAAAAGCATTTCAAACTGATTAAAACAACTAAGTTTGCAGCAATCAGAAAAAATTTCAAATAAGAGAAAACAAATATAAAAACATTAATAGAACCAAAAGGAAGAAAGGACATTGAAAATGTAAAAATTTTATCAGGAAGATATTAACTGACCTCCGATGGCAATATAAGGTATTCTACGAGCACCCCCGATGTAGAGAGCATCAGAGAGAATTCCATACAGAGGCTTAGCTACCATGGGAAAGTTACCAGAGTTCTGCACTAGCTGCAACGTTGAAGGATGCAAGTTAAGATTGTGAGCCATGTGGAAGTTTAGAGCCAACCATGGAAAACACCTAAAACCTTGCACCCAATATCCCAACCCACACAAAGCCAACATTTCCTTAAAACCTTCTTGGGATAAACCTTTCCTCTCCTCATATTCCTTGCTTTTCCTGCCAATCCTGACACAAACCTCACCTGGGTTGGTCACTATGATAGGGTTTATGAGTTGGATTTTGGGTTTTATGTCCTTGTTAACTGTATTGCTATTAGGAATAGCATTATGATGCTGAAAAGATCTGAATATTGATCTTGACTGAAAGTTAGATAACTTTTTGTACCTCTCCTGGATTCTGGGGATTCTTGGATTGGTTAAACTTCTTGGGTTTTTAGTGGAAACTAATGGGTAAATCATTGTTCTTGGCTTGTTGAGACTTGGACTCAGATTGAAAACAAATGGAAGGCTTCTTTATGTGCAGAGGTATGAAAGAGATCAACATATCCCACTTTGGAAGAAATGTTGCTCTAAAGAGAAGAAAGAATATCAAAATTCAAATACCTAGGAATTTAGAGAGAAGAGAAAGATCTAGAGAAAGCATAGGAAGCTGAATCACAGGCCAAAAAAGAAATAAAATTACTACTTGGTGGAAGACTTGAGAGCCACGAGAGAGAAATGCAGAGGGTTCCAGCTTTTATTACTGTTTTCTTTTTTTTTTTTGGCTTTTCTTGGGGAAGATTTAGAGGGTCCCAACCATGTCCTAAAACGAACGAACCACGCTCCTCATGTCCTGTAACGGCGGCCACTGTTAGGTCAGTGGGCTCCAGCGTTAGGATGTTGGTGTTGTGGTCAAATCAAAGGAATGATTATGACAACACGTGTAACATCGTGTCCGGGGATTCCAATGAGCCGTTGCCTGTTGTACTCTTCTGCAAGTTAAAAACTAACAGAGTGGTGAACATGCACACGCGCGGTTGACGATTTGTTTTCCACGATCAAGGGCCCTGCCGGCAGTGTGGCGAACGTGCATAGTTTCTCCATGTACTTGTCATGTTGTAAGGAGAGCAAGTGAAAAATGATGATAGGAAAGCAATAGCATGGTTGGTTTTAGGCTTGGTTTTGTTACTGAAACCTCGTCCTGGATTAAGCCAATCTGTTCTTTGACTTGGTTTCTGAACCGATCGCAGCAATTTGAGGACCAACATGGGAGCCCATGTGGCTCATAAATGACTATAAAGAAGTCTCCATTAAGTGTCAAGGTAGCAGCTGGTTGAGACTTTAGATATCTTGGTGGCCAGCAACACGTGACTAGATTGGCACTTGGGACCTTGTGAATCGGAAAAGGAAAGCCATCGGGCTAGCTGACTGGAAGGAAAGGGGAAAGCAAACTTGAGTCTTTCGGGTTTATGACTGTTTGTGAAAACCAGAAGCAACCTTGTTTGCATCAAGAGTTTAGATTGGAATAAACATCCAAGACAGGGCAGGAGGAGACTCCTTAATGGTACCAGGGTTAGCTTCTCCTTATCATCTGTAAGACTGTTTGACAGAAACACCAACTTGTTCAATGCCCTTTACCTTCTGGAAAATGGTGTTTCCTTTTTATGTGAACTTGTAAAGTGTATATGATTTTAATTTTGTTAGCCAAAAACAGGGAGACTGATCCTTTTTCATATCAGACACTGAATATCTAAGGAGGTCAGCAGCCGCAATTGTGTATTTCTAGCAACCATCCAGGTCTGCAGGTACTTATGACAGAAGTGTCTGAATCAAAGAAAACCCAAAAAGGAAAATAATAGTAATAATTAAGCACTGTTTGCTATTTGGAGCATCTACTGCATCAGTCATTGTCATGTCAGAAAATCCCATAGCAACATTAGTTAACGAGCCCTCATTCTCCTGGATTTGATCAATTTTCAGAAAGAGCTAATAAGAGTGAATTTAGTGGTCTGAAAGAATGAATTTTTTCCCCTTTGTCTTTTCTTAGGGAAACAGGGAACAAAATTAACATATGGTTGAAATTTTGCTGAAGAAGAGATATCCAGTGATCATGAAATGATGAAAAACATAAAGGGTAAGCATTTTGGCCAAAACTCATAACCGGAGCTCGGGAAAAAGGAAGAAACATAAACCAGAAACCCTCCATTATTACATTCTTCGGCAATGTGCTCATTCTATAATCTCCACAACATCACATGTAATTGATTCTGAGCTTTATGAAAATAATTTTGGCCTAGAAATGATCAGTTCTGTAAAGGACAATTGGCCTCTGCCTGAGACTGATGATGAAGGTATCATCATCTACATGAGAGTTAAACAAAGTTAAAAACAAAAGCCTATAAGGGACTAACTCCTAATTGAGGCTGAGACAATCTTATGAAACAAATGTTAGGCCAAAATTGATGGAAACTCAATCAGTGGCGGATGTCAGCATTTGGAGCTAATTACCAGTTAAATCTAGATAAGCTTGTAGTAACAGTCTCCTCCTAACAGAAGAATTTTATAACCTTTGCCACAGGGGCACTTGAAACAGATGACTATACACTCCCCTTCTCTCTCTACGCTCACATCTTCTTCACATTCTAACTCATAGTCATCCTGCAACAACAACAACAACATCAAGAACGGGGATTTGTGATAGAGATTTCGTTTATGCCATTTTCTTAGAAACCAAACAGACAATGAAGGATAATTTTGTGAAAGAAAATCCAACCTTTGTTGCCTCTTCAGCGCAGACCATATTTTCATCTTCACGCATTGCATCATGGAACCACTTGCTCATTTCCCTCATGCGATCTTCCATCCTCTTCAGCCTCTGCCATAAGCACCATCACCACTTATTTTTTAAAGAAACCTAACATTAAACAACTAATCCTTAATCAAATCAATCACAGAATCCAAGAAGACCCCATAACCAAACTCAAGGGCACAATCAAGATGCAAGAACATGGAAACCACATCTAATCCAAGAAATAAAAATCTATAGAACTATGCAAAATAGAACAGAAACCACCTTAAACCAATAGTTACTGCTATTAATGCAAAGAATCTTTGTCTAAACTAACCACCACCTTCAACAAGCAACAAAACTGTTAAACCCACCACATAAGAGAAAGAAGAAAATGCAAAAAAAGATGCGAACCTTAGCACTAGGACTTTCCTCCTTACATGTCCTGCCTGGGGAAGGATACGGGTCGGAAGCTGATCTTCTCAGCACAGGCGCCTTTGGAGGCAAAGCAGACGCAGAGGCACTTCCTTTAGACAATGGTGACTCCCCTACAATGTTGGCATTCCCAGGCGGCGACTGGGTGTATGTCCCCGGAGAGCTGGAAGGATCAGAAACGCTGCGTCGAAGGATAGGTAAAGATTGAGTTGGTGGTGGAGGGAGAGATATCTTGGAGAAGCCAAAGAGAGGATGGCTGCGGTCCAAGACGAGTTTCTTGGGCTTTGGCTCCGGGAGTGGCTCAGGCGAGGGACGTTTCATGGGATTGGAAGTAGTACTAATATAACCAGTCCCGCCGCAGGAGGTGCAAGAAGAGCGGTGGTTACGGTGGGTGTTGCTGACGTCAGTGGTGGTGCCATTATTGAAGCTGTCAATGCGGAGGAGAGAGAGGTCCAGGGGCGATTCCTGGAGCTCTTCTCCTTCCCCGCAGTTGATTGTTTCATGGTCTCTGAGTTGTTGGTCACCGTTACTCATTCTTGTTTTTGTTCTTTCGGCTGATTTGGGCTCAAATGGTTTCTTGATTTTCTCTCTTTTGGACTTTTTTTTTCTTATTTCTCCTCATTGGTGAAATGCGGAGGAAGTGAGAAATGGCGGGCTTTATATTAACGGCTGAATTAAGAGTGTAACTCATGGACCAATGGAAACATGCCACGCCAAACATGATAATAACAGGATAACCTGTCATTTTTTTTTACCAATAATTTTATACAGATTTAGTTAGGTTGAAGGCTGACATTAGTTAAATGAGACCATTCACATCTGCTATACCAACGTTGCCCAGGAATTGTTTCCATTGCCTTTTGCAACCACACTAATATTTTAGAATTATGGGACTTAATAAGGATATTAGTACTTCTTCAACATGAAATGAATTGTCCAAAATAGTATTTGCCAAATGTTTCTTTACAGTTGGACATCCAGATGTAGAACAAAGATCTTGGATGCCCAACATTACAAAGGCACATGAACAGCAAGGCATCAAGAATAAAAGTAAAAAACACCATGAACGTTCGAATGATGTCTCCTCCAGTGTTCTTCAGGAACAGAAAACAACTCCAAACTCCATGGTGATATCCTGCTATCCTGCTGGTGATCAACTCAAACAGAAGATAAGGTCTCCTTCCAACTCTCCTCCAGATAACGGGAATAGCATCTTATGCTTAAAGGCTGATTTTTTTAGTTACATACAGCTACCTACGTTTCAGGTGTTCCTCAACTGTTAAAAACTTTCTTTGGGAACAATGGAAA